CCCGAAATTCAATAATTTATATTAAGGTCCCCTTGTCCCCCACTCTTTTGGTCGTACTGGAATTAATCTGGATTAATACAACTGTGCACTCTGCACCTCCAACCTTGTATTAAAACTACGATATAATCCCCATGAAATATTTATAAATCTCATTACATAAAATGAACATGTGACACTAAAATCACCAATATATATATATATATATATATATATATATATATATATATATATATAACACCTGGTTTCTGGTACGCTTTTATTTATAAAATTATTCATTTTAATAGAGCTACTCGACAAGTTGGAAGCCCCAGACTCGTTGAGTAGAAACAAGTTTTGGACGCGGGTTTTAAGCTATCTACTCGACGAGTCGAGAGCCCTCGAGTCGGCGAGTAGGTCTGCCAGAGTGAAACCATAATTTCGGGGTTTTGCACCCTATTTAATCATCTTAATCCCCACCTTTTGGCCTCATTTCCATCCTCCACATCCCAAACCCTAATCCACGAAACCCTAGAGCATTATGTGAGTGTGTGAGCCATTTTTTAGTGTTCTTGTGTGATTTGAAGCTTGTAGAGGAAGAAGAAGCTTGAGGACTCCAAGAGAAGATTGTAGATCTAGAAGCAACGTCTCATTCCCTTCACTTTCTGGTAATCAAGTCTCCAACTTGATCATTTGTTCAATATATCTCATTATTTCCACTTTTGAGGGTTTTGGTCCAAGAAGCTTGAACCTTGGGATTTGGACGTCCCAAGCTAGTATCCTTTCAGATCTGGGATCATTAAGGGTTGTTAAGGCATAAAGGTGCAAACTTTATGCCATTAAAGCCCCCCATGCAAGATCTACGGTGTTGTTATGGCCTTTTGAGACCAAAAGGCCATGCATGGAAGGAAAGTCTGAGGCTTTACGTGTTATTTTGGTATCTAGGACCTAGATCTGGGTTTTCATGCTTTGGTTTGGAGTGATAAGGCTTTTGGACAAAGATTTATGTCCTAAAAGGACTAGGGTTTTAGCTAAACCCATTAAGAAGGGTTATCAACGGGAAAAGTTGGAAACTTTACCCTTAAAAGAGCATTTCCAATATGTAGATGAAGTATGAACTTTGGATTTGGAGAGTAGAGGCTTAATCTGTTAAGATGGCCAAACAGACAGAGGAACTCGACGAGTTAGATTGTGTTGTCCCGTTTTAGCTTAAGGTAGAACTCGACGAGTCGGTGAAGGGACTCGACGAGTTGATTCGATAAATCGCGATTATGAGTAGCCAGGGAACTCGGCGAGTCAGGGGGGTGACTCGACGAGTTAGATCGCGATTGCAGGATTCTAGGACTCGACGAGTTGATGAAGCAACTCGGCGAGCTGGGTCAACCAGAAGGTTGACTTTGACCAAAGCGTTGACTTTGACCAGGGGTAAGATGGTCATTTTACCGTAAGGAGGATTATTAGGTTTTGACTAAGTGTTATTGTGATATTAATAGTCGGGGAGTCGTTGGAGCAGTCGTCGGAGATTCCTCACTCGAGATTTCAGCAGTTAGCTTTGCAAGGTGAGTTTCCTTCAGTAGGAACGGGTCTATGGCACCAAGGCCGACCATAATATGTGATATGTTAGTAGCTAAGTGTGGGCGGGGCCCGAATCTCATAGTAGCCGAGTGTGGGTGGGGCCCGAATCTCGTAGTTTTATTTGAGTATAGATATGTGACTTGCTTGATAGGAATAGATATACTTGTTGTCTGTGTGATACTTGTATGCATGTAGTAACGGAGTGTGGACGGGGCCCATATCTCCTAGACAGCGGAGTGTGGGCGAGGCCCAAATCTCCTAGACGGCGGAGTGTGGGCGGGGCCCGAATCTCCATGAGAGTGGGTGAGGCCCGTATCTCATAGTTGCATGTTATGTGTATGGTATGTGGTAGTTTGGGGAGACTCACTAAGCTTCGTGCTTACAGTTTTCAGTTTTGGTTTCAGGTACTTCCACTAGCAAGGGGAAGAGTTCGGGATGACTGTATGACACACACCACAGTTTATAGCATGAGATGTTTTAGACTCTGATGTTTTGACACATGGTTTTGATACAATATTTTGATATGATGTTTTGGGAATACATGACTTGTGATTTTATTATGATGTTGATGAATTATGGTTTTTATTAAATGATTTTAAAACGAAATTTTTGGACCGTATTATATATATATATATATATATATATATATATATATATATATATATATAATATATATATATATATATATAATACTAATATAATATTTTTAAGCCAATAAATTGTTGAAAATTTTATATTACAACGATTAACCAACATACATCTATCAAACTTTTACCAGATAATTTTATTTCTACACTAACATATAAAAAATCACCTATTAAGGTTGCGTTTGACGCGCTAGCTGATAATTGAAAAGCAAAGCTAGCTGATGGTTAAAAAGCTAGCTGCTAGCTGATAATCTAGCTGATAAAAAAAGTGTTTGGTAAAAACTAACTGATAAGCTAGCTGAAAAATATAAAATTACATAAAAAAGCATTTTCAAAAAAGTTTTTTATGATTAATTAAGGGTATATTTGGGAAGTTTGTAAAAAAACTCCTGAAAAGCTACTCCAAGTACCTTTTCAAAAGCTAACTTTTTGGTTTACTAAACACGACAACCCAAAAAAACTCGTAAAATAAGGTAGTTTTTCAGGTAGATGTGATGTGTCAAACGCAGCCTAAAACGAAGAAAAAAAAAGGTAAGTGGTTGTTTGCTCTTAACACTCGCTCTTATAACATTAATAGGAACAAAATAATATAGATTAAAATAATGACAAGATTAAACGAAAGTTTTTAATGGTCCAAAATCTTTAATGGTGGCATAACTTGAAGAACCACAATGCCATCAATACACACATTTTATGGGACCTTTTATCATGCATTTAATTTGGAGTGGAAATTGAGTTGACTTTGCTTTTGCCATAAAGTAGAAAGTATTTTATAATAGCTAACACTAACATTATCTATTTTTATTTTAATGATAATCATTATAATTTTTTTGTAATGGTAAATCTGAATATCAAAACAATTAATTATACCGAGGGTCTTATTTAGGTATACACGTTATATATTGGTTTTATGAAGTAAAAAAGAAAATATTTGATAAAGAATTTATTCACTAATAAATTATCAAGTTTGGACATAATTTAAAGGGGAAATATATAAAAATTATTACCAAATTTTCATATTTTCTCTAGTTACATATATAGATGATTTTTTTTCAATCATATAAGTACATTGTTTTATTTCGTTTATAATCAAATTAATTGAAAATTTGATCAAACTTAAAACAATAGTATCAAAGGAAAAAAACAATTTGACAAAAAGGAAATCAAACATTTCTTTTACATATCCTATTGTCTCTTCAAAGCTTCTGTAAAAAATATACGAGTATTATTATTATTATTAGGAGGCTAATTTATACACAATAGACTTTTTTATATATAATAATTTATGTTTTAAAATATTATCTTGTAAAATTGTTGTGTTAGATAATTTCTATAAAATATAAATTGTTGTGTTAGAGAAAAACTATTCATTGTGGTTAGATTTTACAAATAGATCATAGGATATTAAAATTCATACATAATATCTTTAAAATTAAAAGATGGCAAATATTGTTTTCACTTAAACAATAAGCAACCGCGTGTATGATTAGGATAATGAGACATGCACTAATACACGAGTTAGTGGGGCATGTTTATTAGCCTCTAATTATGGGCCACTGACACAACCCAATGTCCATATCCAATATTCATTATAAAACCACCACAAAATGTTTATGGTCATGCATGGACACTTACATATATATATTTTTTAAAAATAATTTATGTAATGATGGTGTGGTGTTATCATTAATGTTTAAAAACTCGATCAAAACTTTATTAAAGTTATCGAAAATAACAAATTGGTCTAATATCAATTTCGATGATTTTAATTGATTTACATATCAAGAAAACATAATGAGTGAGGTTTAAAACATAATCAAAATATACGAAAAAAACCACTGAATCCAATATCGATCATTGGGTATGTTAGTGTATATTAAGCTATTTTAAGACCAACTAAACACATATAAATTATAAATGTATAATAAAAGTGAGACTGTATAACATGCGCTACGATATATTATGCTCAAAGATTCATTGGGCGTATATCATGCTAGTGTGCTTGTGCAACTGTTATAACTTGCTAAATTATTTCAAGAAGTGTATGATAACGTTTTTTTTTACTCCAATTTTAAACTATTAAATAGTTTTTTTTTTTTTTTTGAAGAACATAAAGAACACATTCAAGATTCAAGAGTAATATAAAAAAGAAAATAATAATATGATCTAATGGATTAAAAGCGGCTATAATATAGTTGTTAGGGATTTGACATATAAACATATAGATCAAAAATAGCAACCGAAACAAAACAATATTTTAAAAATTTTAATCCCGAAAAGTCATGGATCCAACTAGAACCAATTAGATCAAAACGCAACCATATGATGTCTAGAATAATATTTCAATATTTGGATACAAGTTATCAAGTGCAAATAGCTTGTAAAGTTGATCCACACATATCGACATAATAAAAGTGACTTTTCAATTGTTCAATCTTAACTTCCTTCCTTCTTAGCTTGCCTTGACATCATGTCCATACAAGGAGAAGGAGATGGATCAGCAGACTCTAGGGTTATGGAAGGGGCAATTAAAGCTTAAACATGTTCTTTCACATCTACCTCCACCTCCTCCAATAAAATAAACTTAAAGAGGCCACATGTCCTCTTTCTACATATCTATTTTGCCACGTGGCTTCCTCATATTTCCCTGCGTCTTTTGTTTCCCGCCTACTGCAATTTCATCTATGCAACATTATTATACCATAATTGAATTGATTGAAAGTTGCAACTGATTCTATTTAGAGTGATTTGAGGACAAAGGGATTTGAATTTTTTTGAAATTTTTATTTCCCCTCCTCTTCTATGGGATATCAATCAAATTGGTGTGGAAACCCTATTCTATGTATCTCCCCTCTCTTCTAATCCTTGAATACTTGATTCTCTTCTCTTCTGTTTTGTTTTTTTTTTTTGGTTTGAAATTCCTAATTTTTTTGATTTAATGTCGTTGATTTGCAAGTAAACGTGTTCGTCGTCTCACCATCTCAGGTATTCTACCAATCTATGTTTTCCAGCCCTTAATCGACTTATGGTCTCATCAGTAAATACAACTTGATTTCCCATCTTCATCTATAAATGAGTCTTTTTAGATCTATTCACGGGTTCATATTCCCTACCATTGCCTTCACATGATTAGCCATCACCGTCGTGACAACCATCAGACACGTTCTTATTTGGTCGTATCTTGAGTTGGATTCGCACATGATAGCTCCGAGATCTATGGTGGAACTGTTAGATGCGGTACATCAAATGGTAGGGCTTTAAGCTTTTTTGTATCTCTTCCCTATCTCAACATATGCTCATTTTTTTCTTATTTTTTAGTTTATTTTGCAACAGAAACGAATCCGGTTTTTGAGTTGGGAAAGTTGGGATCTCTGGTAAGTCCGATTTTTTGGTTCATTTTGCAACAATGTGATGTTTCATTCTATTTTGGTCGTCCTTTGAGGTGGAATCCAAGGTAAGTCTGATTTTTGAATTGTAATGTATTGTGATTGAATCTTGCTAATTCTATTTGCATATGTTTTGGTTCAAGTTAACAAAAATATATTTTGTAATGATCGTGATTGAATCTTATTAATTCCTCTTATCGCCTCAATCGGTCTGTCTCTCATTCTCTCCCTCTTTTTCTCTATAAAAAATTTACAATCGTGTTGTTAACTTTTACCGAAAGTTGGTTTTCCTTTTGTGGATTTGGACCTTTACTACCAGAGCAACCAGGGGGGAATTTGTGTCGATCAAGGACAATAATATTAATAGGATTGTTTTAATCGTTTATAGAAAAATCACAACTTTCACATGCATAACTTAATCTGTATGTCTTCATAAACATACCACTGCCTGCTTCTCTCTTGGACAATCTAAATTGTACTTCACATACTGGCTGTGTTCAAATTACTCTAAAAGCTAAATTAATTATATTTCTTTGATTTATGTTTTATATGACTGCCTCTCAGCTCTGCCTCCTTCTTCTATCCCGTGAGTTTCTTTTTTCTAATTTATAACTCACTTTCATAATATTTTCCATTTTTATTTTGGTTCTTTTGCATTATTTAAGAGTTAGTTGATCATCAAAGTCAAGAATACAAGTGGTATGGCGTCTAGCTAGAAGAGTTCTTGCTAATTATTCATGTTGTGCGTTTTATTTCTATTTGCTTTTTATTATCATACTTTCACAAGTTTCACAGGTGCAGACACTTATGTTGTTGCCGATACAGAGAAACTCTTTCATCAATGATGTTCATGTTCCTGTTCCTATCATCCTTTTATATAAGTGCTTCTCGAGTATTAAAATGTAATGAGGTTGCCACAGCTGGCGGGAAGAATTTATATAATTAGAATGGTTCTGCTTTGTTTGGTTGAGATGTTCACACTACAAACATGGACGATTTTGCCCTTGGTAGAACATATTGCACACAACTTTTTTTAGAAGCTGATAACAGTCCCAAAGGGCATAATACCATCCATAAACTACATACAGGTACTCATCTATTATACGTTTTATTGATCATCTTGCTTATAATTTGTATTAAAAAAAACTTATAGTGAATCGAAAATTGTCAACAGTCCCAAAGGGCATGTGGAAAGCTAAGGGAGAGTTTTAGTATGGATGTGTTTGTTGGAAATGCAACTGGTTACGAGAATGCACTACTATATATTGCTTTGTATTTCACAACAATTCTTCAAGGAATCACATGTTTCAAACAATGTTAATTTAAGATCTCTTGCCAAGTATATTTAAGTAAGATTTGATATTTTTTTTATTTGCTTTGCGTGATTATACGACAGATAAGTGATAACCCGTCGAAATAAGAGAAATTATATTTTTAGATAATATGTAGTCTGAAAAATGGAGTAATGTGTAATATATTTTTACAAATTGTTCTATAGTTTCCCAATAGTTTCGGTGTATTATCATGTGGTGTGAAATAGTGTATTGTTAAAATTATGTGATATTTAATTAATTATTTTTAATAAATATCAAATAACTTAATCATGTGCAAAACAAGAAATGACGATCAATTTGCAAATAATATCTATTTTAAAGTTTTTTTATTTTATGGCAAACAATTTTTTATAAGTTTAAATCTTAATCACAAAAAAATGAGGTCATTATTTAGAAAAATGACCACATTTTTAATATCTATCCAAAGATAACAATGTAAACCTTAAAGTTTTAAACCATAGATTGTAAACCGTAACCCATAGATCTTATACCTTAAAGGAGAATAATGAACCAAACATTGATGAACAAATCTTATCTAAGTAATTTTGATTTGTATCTTAAAAAATACATAGTTTTGATTTAAACATATTCGAATAATTTACAATAAGAAAGGAAAATAGTTTTCCATTCACTAATAATCATCCCAAAGTTTAAACCTCAGTTATATAAGACTTCAAATATGAAAATGGATAAATGACAACTAATTAACAACGATCTGAATTGTTTATGATTATGGTTGTTATCATGAGTCCATTTAATTTTTGTAACGACGTAAAATTTTAAACATTTTTTTTTCATTTTTCAACCACAATAAAACTCATATAATATTCTCAAAATCTCATATGTATCAAATGTCATCACAATAAAACATATCCCAGAATCTCAAAACATAATCCTCTGTCAGTGTGTATAAATCATGCCGGCGCCTTCCCGCGATCCTCGGTAGTACCTGAAACACATATCACATAACACGGTAAACATAAATGCTTATTGAGTTCCCCAAAATACCACACATATCACATTAGCCACTCGAGGCTATACTCTGTAAGACCCTCCGGTCAATGTGTCTCAGCGGGACCCTCCAGTCTCATAGCTCGTTGGACCCTCTGGTCCGGTCTAGCTCGTTGGACCCTCCGGTCCGGTCTGGTTGAGGACCCTCTGACCTCATAAATCGTTGGACCCTCTGGTCCGGTCTATAAAGCTCCGCATGGCATAAATCACAAAGAAATAATGCACAACATAACACATAAAGCAGGATAACGTAATACTCAATGTAAGCACATAGGACCTTCCGGTCACACATTACTACCACTCAAGATAAAGTATAGTGAGAAGACTCACCTCGTATGATGAACAACCTCTAGCAACGTTGCTGCTACACACCGGCCTCTAACTCTGTGCCAAGGCCCACATTTATCCCAATTAGGAACTAAGTCCAACTCTCACTCTTTAGCTCTAAATGTAGCCCACTGACCAGCCCATTAATGACCTAAAACCCATTGGGCCCACCAAGGCCCAGTTCTCAATCAAAAAGGCAAGCCCAACCTTAGATAAACTCCCCAAGCTCACTAATGGCCCACTTTGCTAAATTGGGCCCACTCCCTCCAATGGGCCTTACCCCAAGCCCAAATATATCCTTGGCCCATAGCTTCAGACTAAAGATGGCCCAACAGCCTAGAGACCCAAAGCATGGCCCAAAGCACGGCCCACAACACAAAGTCCAACACAGACAAGTTACGCGGGGCGTACTCCTATGTACGCTAGGCGTATTGACTCGATGGAGAGTACGCTGGGCGTACCTGCACGTACGCTCAGTGTAATCCTCCTGTTAAGCCCTTTTTCCATTAAGTGCTTATTACTTCATTCCAGAGGCTACAAAATTCAGATCCAGGTCCTTATTATCCTCTTAATCCTTAAGTCATAATCTTGGTGTGCAATCCACCAAATAAGCTCAAACTCAAAAGTAACAACATACTTCCATCATAAGGGCTACATCTCATGCATGAACACAAATGGGATATCAAGATGGCAACTTTCTGCCTTAGGGACTCATCTAGAACTGAAAATAGCAACTCCAAGACTAGGAGTCGAATTTGCATCATAAAGCTCAAATCTTGGGACCAAAGGAACTCCAAAATCAAACAACACTAGATCTAAGCATGCTTAAGGAAAGCTATGAACTTTATACCTCAAAAGAGCTCCAAATGATGATGATGATCCAAATCTATGAGCTCCAAACTCCCAAGCTCTTCCTTGCCAACTTCCTCTTTTGCCCATTCCAAGCTCATACCACCAAAATAAACCTCTTGAAGACCAAATCATCCAAGGATGAAGATATGCGACGTTCTAGGGTTTCTCTGAGGTTAGGGAACAAACATGGAGGCTAGGGTTTGAACCATAATGTTCTATATATAGTGGCACGCCCTAAATTTAGGGTTTCTGGACTCTGGACGTACGTTGGGCGTACCTCCTGTGCGATGGGCGTACGCCAAGGAGCACACGCGACCATTTCCCTTATACGCTGGGCGTAACCCAGCCTTACGCTGGGCGTACCCACGCGCTTCCATTTCACATGCATGACCTTCCATGCCAACTTTTCTCCTTAAGGGACCATTTATGCCAAAAACTTCCAAGTGTCATATATTCCTCACTTGATGTCCGTTTTCGACAAACTTTATATCCACGAAAAGGTAACGAGATGCTCTACACTTCTATCAACTTTATATATTCTAGAGCCCACTCGAGCTTAGGTCCAAAATTCATGAAAAGCCCAAACCAACACCTTTGTCGATAATCTTGGGTCCTAAAGAACAACTCGAACCCTTTTCTCACCCACGATCCACCTTATCCATATCCAAGAAGGCCTAAACCTTTCTCTTTCAAAATCTCATAACTTTCTCATACTCAGATTACGACCGCCGAGCCTGGAATTGTAAAACAATCTGAAACAGGATGTTACAATTCTCCCCCACTTAAATTTGATTTCGCCCTCGAAATCACTCCTGCCAATACTCAGATCAAATCAACAACCCGAGAAGTGTACCCGAAAATCACAACAATAGACGATCTCCCCAAGGCAACCGAAACCAATCAGAACCTTTGAAAAATGAACCCCACTACTCTGTCCTCAGACACAGAAGATCGACCAAACCCGGTCGGAACTGCCCTCTGATACTATCCATCATTAGCTCCTGCTTCCTCTCAAAAGTCCCTTCCATCATTGAGTACAGATCAGTTCCCGATTCCACAGTTAAACCTCCAAGGCTACTCCTTGCACACCCAATAAAACGACTTTAGAGTCTTCCGAATCACATTCGCTATCTCAACCCATCATATGGCACACAAAATCACAATGTTCGCTTACCTTGAGCGAGTACTACAGTCTATCTGATGTCGCCTCACTTCCGACCTCCGTCGTCTATCACTTATCCGTCCCATATGTCTCGTGGTCCTCCATAATCAACGAACCGACCCTCCCAAGTATAAAAACATCAGATGGAAATCATTACCACTCAAATGAAACCCATCTGAATTTTCAGAATCTCATCTTGCCTACTCAATACACCGCTAGAGCCAAACTCAACTCAAACGGCTGGTCCGACATATAATTGAAACCATTCGTCCCACTAAAGCACTCAAACCATGACCCACGACCCGCAACCCACGCGCATACCACTTCTCCAATTCCCTTGGGTTGCGACAACCACAACTCGATTCAGAGTATAACGATTCCCGACAAATATGGAGACCCCAGTCTCGCCCCTGGTTCGACCACCAGGCTTCCAAAAACTCAAATATTAGGGCTACCCAAGCCTGAAACCCTTCCGTGTCGCTCTCTGACCAGAGAGTACTTCATCACAACACCCTCTCGCTGACTGGTGAGTACTACGGTGTTGGGTTTTTAGCATTCTAACACTCCTATGGTGTACATGCAACCATAAATACCTTGGATCTATGTTTTCTCTATTATACATGCAAATATCAATTTTCCAAGGTATTGTTCTAACTAGCATAATATAAAGTACATATAATATAAATTCTAGTAGAATTACATACCTTTTGTTTGGAGCTTGATTCCATGGAGCTCAAGATCCTAGTGCCCCAAATGTGACACCTCAAATGGTTCACACAACACCATGAACATTTGGAATAACTTGAGAGAAAATGCACACTTCATGAAAATCGGCTTGCCCTTTTCTTCACACACTTGTGGCCGATTTTTCCCAAGAATATGATCTTTATATAGTGTCACAATTAGGGTGAACCCTAATTGTCATGGCTTTCCATTTCCTTGGATCCATGGGTTCAAATACACCATGGAGCATCCTATGGGTTTTAGCCCAACTTGATAATCCATGGAGTCTTAGCCCACTATACAAGTATTGGATGATTTACACAATCAACCCATATATTTAATTAGTCTTCTTTTGATCACTTAATTAATTCTAGATTAATTCTTGACCAATACTAATTAAATAATCTTATTAATATATCAGAACTTATAATATATT